GTTTAGAAATAAGCATGATATGGCCTTAAGTACTCATATTATAAAATTTATAACTGTTTTATTTCGAAAATAACATCAAAAGAGAAATGTAAATACACTAGTTATTGCAAAACAGTCTAAAGTTGAATATATCAGACGTTTCTCAGACACTTTTCAAATTTGTCTGTAAATTCAAGACAATTCAAGGCAATAAACACGAATTCTGCTGCTTGCTGTAGTAATAAGCAAATTTGAATATAGCGTAAACAGTGTTTTGTGTGCAAGACAAAATGTCTTTCGTTTTCACACTCAAGCATAAAGACGCATTTCGCATTGTGTAAACACGAAGCGCACCCCTTCTGAGTTTTTATAAATGTAACAAATAAATAATATAAAAAATATTCAATATTAAAGAACACAATCAGATAGTGGATAGTGTTGGTAAGTTTAAAATCCCATTCTGTAAATCGTTTGATATTATGAGAGTTCAGTTTGAAACCCTTTTTCTAAATGTTAACGGTCACAAAATATCAAATGCAAAACAAGAGAATTAATCAAAAAGCTTCCAGTGAGCCGCAGTTCCTCCGGCTATAAATACCCCAAAATATGGTTTAATCGTCGACATTCCTCTCGCAAAGTACGCTTTGAGCATGAAAATTCCTCGAGCGTTTTGTTTTCGGGGGCGATAACTTATCGATTAAGTACCCACCTGCCATCCCTGTAAAAGCAGACTCCTGTCGACCGTCCTGAGCCACATGACGGCATCTCCCGCTTGAAAATCCCTCAATTTATAGCATTTCGTATGTAGATACATCCCTAAACATTTCAACAGTTCAGAAGTGGAAGCTTGAATGACAGTCTTCTTGGGGGCGGCGACAGGAACCACTTGGTTCTGATTATTAACCGAATTCTCTCTAAGCAGTAACGATTTGTTGGTCAATTTGTCGCAATTCGCGTGGTGATTCGCATTGTTATTCGCGTTATTCACTCGAACGATGTCCAAGGCGAGCGCCGAGGTGCTCTTCGAGTTGGAATAATACGAGCCTTGCTTTTGTATATTTTTGTTTTTATCAATGACCGTGTGGATGTTGTCGACGAGTGGTTGTCGGAAAGTCGTCACATTTTTATTCTTGTTGTCTAGCTTTTTCTTGTTGTTGTTGGCGGTTGAGAAACGCTTCCATGAGAGAGCGTTGATGAAGAGGGAGTGTTTTTTGAGATTCTTCTCCAACGCGTTCTTCTCGGAGATGATTCTAGCATTGTCGTTGTTGTTGATGTTGAGGTTGTTGTTGGAGTTGGTGGTGTTCTTATTCTCGCGGTTCTTGGCGTTGTTCAACTGCTCGTAGGAGAAGTTGTTGAGGGTGAAGTCGCCCGTGGAGCTGGTGGTGTACACTGGGCGGCGTTCGCGAGGAGAGAAACTCAACACCGTGCCCATTTTCAGGCTTTAGCACATATTTGCACCGCTGGAGGCAGCCCGGACTGCAATGATGGCCCAGGGGTCGATCTCGGCGGTGGCGGAGCGCCGGCGCTACGTCTCTTAGCAACCCCATGATGTCATAAGAAATCAATAGGTCCTACAAACGGTGGGGGGCTTTTTTACGCGCTCACCCTCAGTGCTAAGGCATTTCAACGAGGCGCCCAGACGAGAGGATTCGACGAGGGGGCGGCGGATGAACACGGGGTGCAGAACTGATTCCTTATTAACTGATTCGCTTCTCTTTGCAGAGAGGAATTCTAAAGAACTCATCAGTTGATGGAACTTGTAAATATGCATGTTATTCCAACTTGCAAGACTTCAGAATTTTGCTTCAAAATGCAACATTATTTACAAACAATTGATGTTATTTCTATTTTGCATTTCTAAAAGAAAAAATATTTTTTGACAAGATATGAGTTTTGTTATAACTGTGTTATTGTTATTTAGAAAACAGAAAAAGCTTTAAAATTTTTGAGAATTTAGCGTTTTTTTAAATATACAGGGTGATTTTTAAAAAACGACAGACGCTGTAGAATTTTTGTACATGACCCGACTTCGAAAATTAAAAAAAAAATTTAATGGTTATTAATATATGAGCTGATAATTTTAGAATCTTTCTAAATTTCATAGTATATTTTGGGCTATATTAAACTTTTAATTTTAAGTTAGAACCCATATTTTTTTCTGCATAATTTGGAAGGTATCTTAGAACAAATAAATGCAATATGTTTCACTTTTACTAGAAATTAATAAATGTTTAAAAAGATTATCAAAGTTAAAAAAATATATAAAAATTAATAAAATCTAGTTGCACGGTGTTTAACTTTATTTAAAATTTTTAAACAACAATTTGTAGTAAAAATAAAACATATTGTACAGTTGGAGACAAAATACTTTGGTTGTCACTTTTGTGACACTTTAATGTAATTCAAGTTTTAATGTTAAAATAAATGACAATTTCAAATTAATGACAACTATTATATTTTCCTATCAAAAATATGTACAACTTGTCAACTATGATAGACAGTAGCTAAAAGCGTCCGATTTCCACTCAAGCTCATACAATAAATAACTATTAATTTTTGAAATCGGATCTTAATAAAAAATCTACAGCGCCTGTCGTTTTTTAATAATCATCCTATATATTTTCAGCCTTCTGAAATATTTAAAAATTATTCAGATATAAGATTTTCTCACTATAAACTTGCCGCAAAGCAGTTTTCGAGCTATGGATTGACCTTAAAATCCCCATCAACCCCTTAGGTATTAGAATTTTCCTAACATTAGCAACTGTTTAACATTTCATAATCAATAACCATACCTTTTGAGTAAACATCGTTAAACTTACTTCCGTGTACACTTGTATCTTTCCGTTAAATCGATTAATTCAACCCTAACTCTGTCCTCCATATATAGTTTCGATTTCCTCTTGTAAATCTTTCCGAACCAATTTTATGTTTTTTAAAGTTAATGTAAGCCACTCAAAGTGTAGCAGTAAATCATTATTTACCGGTTTTGATCAAAAAGCTAAAATTTATTGCTCTCACCGTTGAAAGTTTACGAGGATAATGGATACGAAGTTATTGCTGGAGTAAGAAATTTACAGCCATTTCAAATCCAAAAACTTTTAGTCGAGTTTATTGCCACTTAAATTTTATTTGTACAAAATTAGGAAGTTACTTAGATTTTATTTATTGATTCAGGTAATGATGGCCACGGTGCAAGGACCACAAAAACCGGATTATAATTTATTTTTGGATAGTTATGTTGATCTACTTATATGTTTCGCTAATTTACTTACTTCTTGTTAATTCTGATCTAAAAATAAATATAAAAGTTTGTTACATTGTGTTTTGCATTGACCCGGATTACATGAGAGTACTCCATATAAAACTAAAATAAATTTTTTATCGAAGTTTTGCATTCAACTTCCTTTTGCGTGCCACTACAAAAAAGTCAATCGACCATCGTTAAATATGTAAATCTCACACAAAATTCCGTTGCTTTTAGACGCCCGAAGGTGGGTAAAAACATGACTCAAGCCAGAAAAATAGTAATTTTGTTGTAATAACATTAGTTGTAGTGGAAATTGCTTGATCCCAAAGGGGCAAAAAGTTTTATGATTGATTAAATCAACAAGAGGGATAAAGCAAATAACAAAAACTCCACTAAGAGCGTAAAAAGGATTTACGCTTCCCTTGTTAAGACGAAAAATTGTCCTTGTGACAATATTGAAATCTAGGTCGAATTTCACGAATTAATTAACCCAGTTTTCGTAATTAACCAACAGTTTATTATAACAACAATTTAAAAAATTTACAATTTTGATTCAGTCAACCAGTTGAAATCTTGCGGTTTTCTATCAGCTGAGGGGCTTATGACAACATTGATAATGGTGGGGCCTTCAGTCTCTTTCAATGCTTCTTTGACGGCTTTCTGCAACTCGGAAATGCTAGTACAGTGGTACCCTTCTCGTCCAAACATTGTCATCATTTTTTCATAACGGGTACTAGTAAACAGAGTTGTGGGGGGAGTCCTATAGAAAAATATTATTTTTCAATAAAAACCCTAAAACGCTGCTTACACTTTCGTAACTTCTCCACTTTCCTGTAAATCCTTGAAGACCTCCTGGGGTACACCACCATAAATACCTGAATTGTTAACCACGACGATTATAACTGGGAGTTTGTATCGTACCATGGTCTCAATCTCCATCCCCGAGAACCCAAACGCTGAATCTCCCTCGACACAAATAACCCTTTTCTTGGGTTCAAAATGGCGGCAATAAAGGGCAGCCGCAATGGCAAAACCTAGACCCACACCCATGGTACCAAAAGTACCAGCGTCTAATCTATGACGCGGTAAGGCGTTCATCAGTACTGATCGTCCTATATCCATGGTGTTTGCTCCCTCACTCACAATAATGGGGTTTTGGGGCAACACTTCTTGCAAATGATGGAAAACGGCGTAGTAGTTCAAAGGTTCAGAAATATCAAGGATCATTTCTTGCACCTTTCTTTTATTATCTTGAATTTTCTTGTTAAGATCGTTCCACCAATCGGAGTGTTTGCTGAACGTGAAGCCACGCCTTTTGAGACTTTCGACCAATTGCCCCACTGCTGGTTTAAGATCAGATTGTATGGCCACAGCCGACTTGACACTATTGTTCAATTCTTCGGCACAAACGTCAATTTGGATAACTTTGACGTTTGAGTTGTATCTCGGGGGGCGTCCGAAGTGCAAAATCCAGTTCAATCTAGCCCCTAGTAACAAAACAACATCGGCTCTTTGTAACGCTAGTGATCTAGCAGGCTGTATCGAGTTGGGGTTGGTGTCCGAAACCACCCCTTTTCCCATAGGAGTCGCCAAAAATGGTAAATTTGTCGAATCAACCAACTCGCGGACTTGTCCTTCGGCACGTGCATACGCCGCTCCTTTTCCAACAATCACAAGTGGCCTCTGAGCCCCGCTTATCAAAGCAGCGGCTTCGTCGATTTTCCTCGGTTCCGGGTAAATCACCGGAATTTCAGGCGAGATGTACTGTTTGGGAATCTTGTCGACAGTAGTCCGGGCCTGGAGCAGATTCCCGGGAAAGTCCAAGTAGACGGCTCCGGGTCGGCCGTATGTGGCCAACCGCACGGCTTTTTCCACGTGCTGGGGGATGAGGGAGAGGCTGGGAGGACGAGCCGAGTATTTGCAATAAGGTCGAGCTAATTCGACTTGGTAGCACTCTTGGAAGCCCCCGATTCCTTCGTGGTCTTGCGGACATGAGCCGCCAATGACTACAACAGGCCAACAATTGACTTGGGCATTGGCCATTCCGGCACAAACGTGCAATAATCCGGGACCGGAGACCACGAGGACGCCTCCGGGAACTCCGGTTAGGTAGCCCATGGCCTGGGCGGCGTAGCACGCGGCTTGTTCGTTACGCATGCCGATGTAGTGGATTCCCGCCGTTTGAAAGGCCATGCTCAGCTCGATTACCGGAAAGCCGCAGATGCCGAAGACATACTCGATTCCCTGGCAAATAATAAATTACCTAACTTATGAAAAATATCTTCATTATGTCATCTGTTTTTGTTTGAATAAAATTGTTGTAATTGTTGTAATTACTAAATTTAAACTCTAAAAAAAAACATATTTAAAACATACATCACTTATTAAAAACTTTTTTTTACACTAGGAGCATATTTTGGTACACGATGATGACATTCCGAGTGAACTAAATTCTGCATGTGGATAATAACACTGGTCAACAAATTTGAACAAATTTTCGGTAACATTGATTAAACTACCTTCCACGTTTATGATTTTTCACTCTGATTTCGAAAATTTTCACAAAAATGTCTCATCACGTATCATTCGTTTGTTACCAACTTCGTTCTGACACCCATGTTAAAGTAAAAGAGTACTGAAAATAATTTAACTATTTAATTTATTTTATTATGAGCATACAATATTTTAATAAACTAACTTTAGAAACATTAAAAAAGTCATATATTACAATAAAAGAGTGAAATCTCAACATTTTCTTTTGTTAGGTACGTTACTGTCGCGTTTTAAAAAAGCTAACAGTAATTACCCATCACAGAAGGGTTCCAGCGGCCTTGATAGCGTTCTTTCATCTTTCTGTCTTGGTGAAACCTCTCCCTTTGTTCGTCACTGACAGCCCGCAGATTTATTGGAAAAAATTCCAAGTGGGAGTGCAGAAAATGTATTAATTAAATTATAGGCAAAAAATGCAACAAATAAACGGTACGTGTTATCAAAAAACTAAATGCATTTTGTTATTTAGGAAGTAAAAAACTACTATTGACCAAATTGTCATCAATGTTACCGAACCCTTGTTGACCTGTGTAATTTTTCATTACCTAAGTTAGCATATTTTACTTATAGAATTTAAAAATCCATCAGCAGTTCTTATGTTGCAAATGTAACATTTTGAAGTAGCAAAAAATTGATGAAAAGGTGTAAAATGTATACTTGTGTTGCCCTTAGAGTATAGTAAGGGATTCTTTTCTTGAAGTATGTAAATAAATACTTTAATGATGGCTATTGGAGGAAAATAATTTAAATAACAACAATCCTTCATTAAAGTGTATTTACAGAGTCACATCAAATAACAGGAAACGAATAATAATTGTAATTATTTTAATTATAGTTTTGATACTACTTATTTATTTATTTATTAAATAGACAAAACCGGCTGTGAAAAAAAAACTTCAAAACGAGCGCCCGACAAGCATGGTTAACAAGTGTATTTCGACGACATCTGTGTATACCTCCTAGAGATATTATAGAAAACTATTTACAATTAAGGTAGAAATAATTTTTAGCATTGTAAAATATAACATTTTACCTGTTCTTTGAGGGCTTGGGCTAGAATTGCGTTTCCATCGATTTCCTCCATTATTTTAAGTAGTTTCACCTTTAAAAACTTGTGTAACTCTGATAGCAACAGCACAAACCTTGTTTGACGTTTATCGGTACTTAACAATAACAACCTAGTAGGGGAAGGTGGGGAAATGGTAATATGTTGTGTTGAGTGCGGCTTTTAAACCGTAAAAAAGGTTAAAATTCGGTGTTTTATCTTTATTTTTAAATCCTTAAAATACAGTTTTATTGAATTAATTTTAATGATTTGCAATATATGAATGACTATTCGTTTTGGTAGGTACGTCGTTTATTGGACTTTGGTATGTCAGGCGAATAAGTGCTTAAATATTGACAAAGATAATCAAGATTGTTTATTTTGAAGTTGCTTTACTGATGTTTGAGAATAGTACAAAAAATGAAACGGATATAGTGCTTTTGTTTATTACAAACATTTTGAAAAAAAGATACAAAATATGCAACTATTTTGCTTCCGCCGTCTCCTCCTCGTCGTCACCCTTCTTTTTATTCCAAGGCTGCACCTCAGCAGATCCAAAAAGGATAAATACAACACCAGTAGCTATGAAAGCAATTCCTCCAAACATGAATATTAGCATGGGGCCTGTGAATCCTTTCTACAAATCACGATTAATGCACCAATTTGAACTCATTTTCAAAATAACAAACATAATTTGTTTTTAAGTATCCTGTTATCTTGGGTACAAATATGCCTGTGGTCATGCCGAAGAAATTAATGATTCCGTAAACCGCTCCTGCAAAATTTGGAGCAAGATCTTGCGAGTTGACCAAATGGCTGACGACGCATGCGCCGTTGAATCCTTGGTTTAACACCAGCATGGTAATAACGCCTTCTTTCATACATCCAAAGGCTCGGATTAGTATCATGCAAGCGCCTGGAATAAAGTGGGCTGCAAAATATTTGACGTAAACCATTGAACGATTTGAGGTCAAGTTTTACAGAAAATTATGAAGAATTTTCGAATTTTGGTCACAGACATTATGTCTTTTTTGCGCATGTAATCGCCAATGATTCCAAAGATGTTACTGCCAAGAAGTCGGGCAAGGTATGGTAGAGCTGCAAGGCCAGCCGACGCTTTTATATCGAAACCTAAAGTATCGGCCATGAATTTGGGGGCGTAAGTGATGATCAAATTCAAGCCCCACAAATTACCAAACTGGGCTATTGCTAAAGCCCAGAAGGGAAAGCTAAAACACATCATCTTGTGATACGGAGGAAACCCCTACAACAATACTCATATCAAATTACAGTCGTAGCGGGTGTCCTGTCCTTGCAAAAGCAAAGTTGATCCCCTATTTGAAAGAAATTTAAAGAAATCCTAGATTCAGAAAGAACGCAATTTTACTTTTTTCACAAGAATGGGACAGCCTACATTTGAATAAACTTCTTTGTAACCTAATGTCTTCTGAACCAAGTGCATAAAAAAGGAAAAGAATCAATGCTAACAAAAATCTGGCAGTTAGTACTACCCCAAAAATTTTGGTTCGAAAACATTTGGTTTGTCACTGGTTTTGAAATCTTATCAATTTAACAAAATCTTTTAATTATGGTAACCTTCTTCTTTGTAAGATGCCCTTCTTGGGCGTCCGCAATATGTTTCTTTTCTTCGTCAGAAACCCAAGGATGAATTTCGGGCTTATCTCTGACAATTATCCCAAAGGCTACGCAATACATCGTCATAAAAATCGCCAAAACGTAGAAGCCCCACTCCCAGCCCCACGCCGACGTCACTGCAGCCACCAAAATCCACGTTATCACCGTGCCCAATGTGTTACCCATCATAGCGGCCAAAAATTTGCCCTTTTCCTTAGGCGGTGCCCATTTTGCGATCAAATCGTTGACGGCCGGATATGCCGGTCCCTAAATAACCATTCTAAGTATTCAAACAAGATGGAAAAGTATTTCACTAACCCCGAGAAAACCGATAAAAAATCGGTTGGCAACCACTCCACCCATGCCTCCTTTTATGGCGCAAATGGGAGTTAAAGCAGTTAAGAAAGCACTGCCGAGGCTCGACCACATGAGAGTGTGCCAAGGGCCTATATAATTTGATATCATTCCTCCAGGCAACACTGTGAGAAAGTAGCCGTAGAAATACCCAGAAAGTATCCAGCCAACATCACCTTCACTCCACTTGAATTTTTGGCTTCCAGTTTTAACCTTAGAAAATCAGATTTTTTGAGCACTACGATAACACATCAAAAATAACAGCATTGACATTTTTTAAATATCTTAAAATTGAAATGAGTGTAAACACTGAAAGAAATTTATTAAAATGCTACTTTGAAAGTTTGTATATCGAAAATAAGTTTTTTATGTCCTTTAAAGACTTACTGCCGCAGGTTTTGTCGAATTATCAGTGGTTGCGCATATTGCCGTCTGATTCTTCTTCGCCTTATCAACCATCCTGATTATACTCACAGACATATTCGATCTCAGCATGTAATTTGTAAAAGTTGTCATGAAAATCATCACAGCGATCCATACGCGATACGGTGGCGCTTCTAAGAAGGAGTTTAATGACAAAACAGTCAAATAAAAAGCACTTACTTAATTTAACCATCGTGAACAAAAAGAATCACAACTGCCAAACAGAGACTAATTTTGACTTTTCGCAAATAAGGACTGTTGATTATTTTGTAGATTTTTTCTTTTATCATACACCGTTACTAGATACTTAACAGAATAAGAGGAACGGATAAATCCACTTGAGCTAATTAATAAATTAGCACATCTTATCAGCATACACGATTTTCAATTTTATCTGTTTAAAAAGCCTAACTTTTTGTTTCGCCACAAACAATATATTATGTAACTGAGTTGTAAATGAAAACAGGTTTTGTTTAAAGAGTTTATTTATGATTACATTGTGGTCAAATGTCCTTCTATCAAGCCATAAACTGGAAAATTGGAAAATGTTATATGGGCCGAGGGACTTTGAGCATATCTAAGTTCAATTTTTTAATTTATTTATAACATTAACTCAAAACACGCCACAGAATTGACCTTTAGGACAGCAATCCTCTAAAATGTTGTCATAGCAATTTTAGCGGATTTTGTCTCTAAAGATTTATTTTGCAGAGTGTTTTAACATGAATCTCAAAACTGAGTATGATGTTCACAAATGTTCTGTAATACAGTTTAAAAAAAATGATAGTTTAGAAAACAAGTCTAAAAATCTTGTATGCAATCCTTAAGTATGCATGTGCTTAAATATTAATAGACAATAAAGATTGTTTATTCTTAAGTTGTTTTGCTGATTTTTGGAAAATATTACAAGTATTTTGATAATACAAAATATGCAATTATTTTGCTTCCGCCGTTTCCTCCTCGTCTTCGCCTTTCTTTTTATTCCAAGGCTGAACTTCACCAGAACCAAAAAGGATAAAGACAACACCAGTGGCTATAAAAACAATTCCTCCAATCATAAATATTAGCATAGGGCCTGTAAATCCTTTCTACAAATCACGGTTACAGCATCATTTTGATTTTTTTTCCGATTAACACACATAATGTGTTTTTAAGTATCCTGTTATCTTGGGTACGAATATTCCTGTGGTCATGCAGAAGAAATTAACGATTCCAAAAACCGATCCTGCAAAATTCGGAGACAGATCTTGTGGGTTGACCAAATGGCTGACGACGCATGCGCCGTTGAATCCTTGGTTTAGCACCAGCATAGCGATGGCGCCTTCTTTCATGCATCCGAAGGCTCGAATTAGTATCATACAGGCGCCTGGAATAAAGTGGGCTGCAAAATATTTCACGTAAACTATTGGTCGGTTTGAGGTAAGTTTTACAGAAAATTATGAAGAATTTTCGAATTTTAGTCACAGACATTATGTCTTTTTTGCGCATGTAATCGCCAACGATTCCAAAGACGTTACTGAAAAGAAGTCGGGCCAGGTATGGAAGTGCAGCGAGGCCGGCCGAAGCTTTTATATTGAAGCCTAATGTTTCGGCCATGAATTTGGGGGCGTAAGTGATGATCAAATTCAAGCCCCACAAATTACCCAACTGAGCCACAACTAAAGCCCAGAATGGAATGTTGAAACACAACATTTTGTGATACGGAGGAAACACCTACAATGGAACGATGAAATTTGAGAATTTGTCCTATCCTTGGAAAAACAAAAATTGTGCTCTATTTTAAACAGGTGACAACACAAAGGAGACTCAATGGTTGGCATTGAGTCTAGAAGGTAACAACTAAGTGTCTCGAGATCTCTAATATACATAAGAAAAAAATCAGTGAAAGTCAATCGTCACCAGTTTTGAAATCTTAATATTTTATAAAAAAAATATTGTTGCAACCTTCTTCTTTGTAAGATGTCCTTCTTGAGATTCCGCAATATGTTTCTTCTCTTCGTCAGAAACCCAAGGATGACTATCGGGCTTATCCCTGACAATTATCCCGAAAGCTATGCAATAAAACAACATAAAAATGGTCAAGACGTAGAAGCCCCACTCCCAGCCCCACGCCGACGTCGCTGCTGCTACCACAATCCAGGTTAATACCGTGCCCAACGTGTTACCCATCATGGCAGCAAAAAATTTGCCTTTTTCCTTAGGCGGTGCCCATTTTGCGATCAAATCGTGGATGGCCGGATATACCACTCCCTAAATAGTAATTATAAGTATTTAAACAAGACGGAAATATATTTTGCTAACCCCGAGAAGACCAAGAAAAAAACGATTGACAACAACTCCAGCTAAACCTCCTTTTATGGCGCAAATGGGAGTCAAACCAGTTAAGAAGGCACTACCGGCGCCCGACCATAAAATAGTGTGCCAAGGGCCAATATAATTCGATATCATTCCTCCAGGCATCACTGTGAGGAAGTAGCCGTAAAAGTACCCAGAAAGTATCCATCCAACATCACCTTCGTTCCACTTGAATGTTTTGCTTCCAGTTTCGTCCTTACAGAGTTAAAAATGTACTCAGATAAGTTCAAAATACTTAAAAGGTTTTTTTTAATGAATTTTTTATGTTCTTACTTTTGGGGGAGGTTTAGTTGAATTATCAAAAGTTGCGCACACTGCTGTCTGATTCTTCTTCGTCTTCTCGACCATTTTGATTATACTCACGGACATATTCGCCCTCAGCATGTAGTTGGTAAAACTTGTCATAAAAATCATCACGGCGATCCATAATCGATATGGTGGCGCTCCTAAGAAGAAATTTAATAAAAAAAAAATCGTACGAAAAATACTTACTTAATTTAACCATCGCAAACAGACGATTACAAGTGACAAAAAACTGTCAATTTTTGACTCGTTACAAATAAGGATTGTTGATTATTTTGTAGAGTGGTATATTACCACACTAGTGCAGTAAAGAAGAATCCATAGCGACATAAACTCAATCCATAGTGACAAGATGTATTATTAACTGGGATTTAAAAATAAAAACACATTTTGTTTAAAGAGTTTACTTATTATTATTTAGTATAATCATACATCGAGTAACTGAAATATAGGCCTGGACATTCACAGCGAAACTTAGAATACAATAAAACATACTACTTATCAATATCATAGTAGTCCAGGCCACTACGCATTGCATTTTCAATATTCTAACAAGACCAGAAAAATTTGGTCGAAATCTATCACCAAAACGATTCGAGATATTTTGCTTAGATAAAATCATAAAACAAAAAGAAAAAAAACAGTAAAAACAATGAATTGCAAAAATTTGTCTAATGAACACGTAATTGAAATTTCTTAATAAACAATCTAAAAACTAACACAATACACAATTACATACACTCCAACATTCTATACCTCACGGGAGGCCATTAAATGGCCCGGATTCAGCAATAATGCAAAAAAAAAGAAAAAATCTTATACACTCTTAAAAAGTAATCATTAATCTCATAGAACAGAGCAGTCGATTGTTCGCATCAGACATAAATTATGGTGTAATAAGACTGGCACTAACTAAATATTTACAAAAATAATCTAATATTCTTACATACAAGTAATATTATCTTGGTGTAATTCCATTCAGCTCCGACGAATGTACAAAAGTCGCACACAGAGGGCGCCACCGAAGGTACGCCCTCGTTTCGTTGTATTCGTTGACGCTCCCTGTATACAACCATCCTCGAATCGAGTACACTTGACCCAAAAAAGTTTAAAAATCTATTTTGTAAAGCTATATCAGGAAGCCGTGCCGAGAATATAAGTTAAGAAGACTGAGTTACAACTATGTACACCTTATGGCATTGTTCTCCCAAGTTGGCTTGTCCCGAGATCAGGAAGTTTCCGTTATATTTTTTTGTTGCAGGAGCGGTGCCATGATCGCTTTCATAACGAATCAAAATCATGGAGAAAGAAATCAATCGTACCCAATCACAGCACAAATATAGAACTAGCGAAGACTTGAGTGTGTCCAATTAACAAAAATGTAATAAAAAAATCGTCCTAAACGAAAAATGTCCGCGTCGTTACTTTCTCTCCCTCTCTCGCTCGCTCTGAGACACATTCCTCCCTTAATTTTTTTAGATTCTTTTTGGTTGGTTTAGCTCTACACCTGACAGCTGACACACGATCGGATGATAATAAAATTTTGTCCGAACACTTCACTGCACTAAGAAGCACTGTTATTATCTGCGATCTCTGTACAAGAGGTAAGTCTGTAGAGCTTGGGGCAGCTGTAGGTTCATCACTTTCTCCTCGAGGTGCTGCTTGCCTAAGCGCTGGCGGATCACGCGCCGGCAGAGGTCCATCAGAGGCAGGGGTTCCGCTAAAATTAAAATAAAGCAATAAGTACATTTTGCCGAATAATTTATATCCAATATGATATATTCTTGCTTGAATAATATAAAAGTTCAAATGTTTTAAATATTTTTTGGTATAAAATTCAAATCGTTTCACTGTTTTCATCGAATATATTCAAAACTTAATCTTTAATGTTCAATCTTTAAGAAAAAAATAAAGTCCAACAAAAGAGGTTTTTTTTAGGAATAGTTTCATCTATATTCATTATACTCATTAAAGAAATTAGTTTTTTTTGACTGCCAGATGTACCGCATGCCAGGAACTGTTTATTTTCTATCTATTGACCTTGAGGTCACAACAACGTGTCTTCAACTGATTCAATTAGCGGTTGCCGTGACGGCGACTATATTAGTAGATATGATTCACTCGTTAGAGATGTTTATTGATGAGTACTTATGGAAAAAGCAGCAAACAGTGGCAAATCTGTCCGAAACGACCTTTGTACACGTTCTTAAAAGGTAAACGTCCTAGAAATTGTACTTCTTTTGTTTCGACGAATTTTACAAATTATAATTTCGTTACGACTTTGGTTCGTTACAGCCGACTGTGGTTGTTTGAACAGCATGTTTGCTTTTAAGTTTTAATTAAATAACAACGTTGTAAACATTTAACAAGATCAATGTCAAGCGGAGGGATTCGAAAGCTAATTTACGAAAACCCGTTCAAATTGTGTACAGTCCCTTTCGAGAGCTAACGAAACTGAAATGGCAGCATGCAATTAATCTCCCTAATTAAAATAAAAATTCATAAAAATTTTCCGGACTTTTACACGATGATTTAATTAGTGTGTCAAGTTTATACAATCACAAATCTATCGTGTTATGTAATTAGCATTGTTTAGACAAGTAAATTCTGCAATCATGGAAAATGTCAAGGCTTTATTCGAAACCTAAAATTTTTGAGATACTTACGATCAAGTCCTCCTATGTACCTCATGGTAATCTCACAATGACCCCAAACGGCACTAACGATCGGATACAATTTCCTCCCTTTTAATCCTCTGAACGCTACTCCCAAGTACTGGCCGTCCACAACAAAACTAAGTGTCCCTTCATCCATATCTAACACCACTAAAAACTTATCGGGCACTATGAAAGTCTCATCCGGCTTTAATAAAGTCGGATACGTCACACCGGGACAATTTTTCGAATCGTGGTACAGTTTGTTACGACCTGAAAAGTACCATGGTATCAATACATTTTTTTTCTTGGAAATAACTGTGATTACAATCATTTGGATTTTCCAGTTTTTGGAAACTTACCTAAATCCCACCCCCACGACGTGTCCGTGCTGCCAACTAAACTCTGGTATCCGACCGAATGTAAAGGCGCTTCGGCCGTCGCGACGCCAACCACTGCGTGCGTCCCCCGTTGCCTCGTCGACCAGCACACCTCCCAGCAGTGCATCCCTTTCGTAAAACCGACTTTGCCTCGTATACAGTCCGTGCTTTGCGCCACAGGATGTCTATGGAAGGTCAGTTTATCGTCCTCTTTGACAAAAATGTTGAGAGAGCGGTCGTCTTGGTTCCAACTGTGTTTGAGCTGGGTCTCCCTGAGGGCTGCAGGCATGTCGAGCAACATGTCCAGCCGTGGTGGACGAGCGAAATCCTTTAAATAAAATAAAACCAATTAAATTCAAATAAAGAAAACACGCGACGAAAATAACCCAGACGACCTATGCCATCTTGAATTACTCCTCTCGTCGGCTATTATAAGAACAGTAATTTTGTTTTTGTTTCGTTTGCCACCTTGAAGTCGAAAAAAGTTAGTCATTTTGTGAATGTCAACTGAATTTTTCAACGCCTACTGCATGTATTTACACCGAGGACAGAGTTTTGAATTTTTGCGGAGCTAATCTAGCTCATATTTGCAAGCAAAAAAACGCCGTCTAAGACTCGATTACAATTAATTATTTAGGACATAAATAATATATATTATTAAATTTTAAATTTTGTAATGTATTTTTACATTTTTAAATTATGTAATTATTTAAGACCAATTCATTTAATTTCTTGTAAGAAAAATAGTATTACAATTAAAAAACATAGCAAAACAGAAAATTTAAGAATACCCTCGTTTTATAAGTTTGTTCGTTTTTATGTAATTTACAAGATACGGTGGCTAAAATATTTTCAGCTTTGAATAATATAATCTAAATATTTTTGCAATTTATTACAACAGTTTTAAGAAAACACAATTTAAAACAACTTTTCCCCCCTGGGAGACTAAAACAATTTGAAAGAAATTTCAAAAACCTAACTTTGTCCCAACTTTCCCACTTTTCGCAGCCATTTGAAAAAATAATGATGTCATATCTAAAAATATCTCCACATAATAAACACCTTGAAACCTGCCAACACTCGACAATTTTCCTCTCAACGCGAAAAACCTCCAACACACTCGCACAATCCCCGTCGTCATTCACATTCACATTTAGTTAGAACGCGTAATTTCATCCTTGATTTAATTTGGAGCGCGTGTCCGTAGGTATATTTTTTTTCTCTCCAATGTCGTTGGTAAATTACCTGCGCCAGTTCCCTTGGGATGACGGGCTTGTAGGGTGCGGCTGCATCCCGGTTAACAGCCTTGACTCCTGACACCTTCTGGCCCATGCTCATGCCCCGGGCCCTGCGACGGCCCGTTTTGCACGGCACCACGGCCGCTTTGTATGCTCGCCTCACTTCGCACAGCCTACCGCT